CATTGGAATGCATTGAAACCTGTTTAATGCGTTCCAATGGGGAAGAATCGTTGTTGTCTAGCGAAGATCGGCCATAGGAAAGCCGCTTTTCGAACCGCTGTTCGATCAGCTGTTTAAATCGCTGTCTTGCGAAGCTTAGGTCCCGAAAACACCTGTTTGCGAGCACGGCGGGAGCTGTCAAAATCATTGTCTAGCAAAAATCAGTTTGCAAAGCAGGGACCAAACATTGTCCAGCGAAATTCCCCCATAGGAACCACTGTTTTGTGAATCACTATAGCGATTGCAAAAAGTCAATGTCTAGCAAAAAAACTGTCATGCAGGGTAACTGTCTAGCGAGGCACCACTGTATAGGAATTGTCTTCTCGAGGGATAATCATAAGCAGTTAGTTGTAAAAATATATATCACTCGATAATAACATTGATGTTAAATAGCTGATCGTTGCTTCTCTTTTTGCCGGCTGCCGACGACTTGCAACCAAGCTTCCTAGCTGCTTGTTTTTGCCCGTTGGCTGATTGGGCAGTTTCCTGGATCAAACGGTGATCAACAGGCTTCCCCCCTCCATAGTTCACCACCTCTTCGGGGTGGTTTCGACACCCTAGGGTATCCCAAACAGGTCAGAATTCAGCCCCGTGGACAGAGCTCTGTTGTCCTGCTGCTGTCTCGTCGCAGTGTCAAGCTGGTCTCGGAATCACGTTGGTTTTAAAGCTCAGTATTGCACCTAGCCGGCTGAACATCATTTCTAGGCTTCTCCCGTTCATTTTTGTGGGACGTGTAGGAGCTGATCCTTTCATGCAGTACCCAGAGTTGGTTAGAAAAGCAAAGTAAGGCAGATGAGCCCATTCCTACGAATTGCACCTGTTGGCATCGGGTTGGATCAGAGCTGCATGTCCACGGGATTCCTAAAAACATGTGTTATGTTGGATGCCGTATGTTAAATGGGTGCTGTGCATAATTAACCAAGTCTGTCTTGCTTGAAAAGACTTGCTACTTTTCCTAGAACAGCTTGGAAAAGCTGTTCTAGGAAAAAGAAGCTGTTCTGTGGAAAGAGAAAGGATACTTTAGCTTTTGTGCTTGATATCCTTACAAGGCAAAACAGGCTTTCACGGGGGATCCTGAAAGTTGTCCTCTTTGTGTTGTTTAAGAACCAGTTCTTTTGTGCCAAAACTGCTAGAGGTGTTAGAAACGGTGCTGCTGGTCTCCTTTGCTCAACTTGTCCCTCTTAACTCTCCATTCCCCAGGTTGTTTTGGAGTGAACGTAAAATAACCAAAGCTCGCGAGTGGTTCCACCGGACAGTGAAGATCGACTCTGACCTGGGTGACGCCTGGGCTTTCTTCTACAAATTTGAGCTTCAGCATGGCACAGAGGTGATTTTAAGGGGGAGAGATGCAAACTTACTGGGATCCACTGGGGTGATTTCACTAGTCTGAGAAGGTTCGGTGATGGATGGCCAGGGCCAGGTGGCTTTCCTTTTCCTTCTTTTGCACTAAATGCTGAGACTGAGGTGCATTTTGGGTTGGTTGTAGTATCTGCTTCTTAGGGAACATTCACAGAGCACTTCAGGCATCCCATTGGCGGAGGGATGGTTTGTTTCCCACACAAGGAAGATAAGGCTCTACATTCATAGTTTCAAAAAAAACAACACGTAAACAGTGCAAGACTAAAGGCTAGCTAACTAAACATAGTCCTCCTGTGCTGGCAAGCTGTTCCTCCTAAAGAAACAGGCCTCCCCTCCCTGGAGCTCATTTGAAACTTCCAAGAGCTCGTTCTGTGACCCCTGAGGAGCAGTTCTGGAGTGTTGCACCCTTCGCCCATCCTTCCCGAGAGTTCATGGGAATATCCTTCCACTCAACTTCCCGACCTTAAGTAGAAGCAGAGCAAACGTTATTTCTGAAAGCATTCTGGAGTGTTGCACCCTTTGCCCATCCTTCCGAAGGAGTTCATGGGAATATCCTTCCATTCAACTTCCCGACCTTAAGCAGAAGCAGAGCAAACGTTATTTCTGAAAGCCTGAGGGCCTGAGTTGTTTTCTGACTTGGAACTGTCAAGCGCTGAACCCTTGACTATTGCTGTAGCCCCTCCCAAAGCGCTCTGGTGCAGAGGAGTAGTAGAATCCCAGGGAAGGAAATGGCCAGATAGAAACTGAGTTTTTCCATTGGTCTAGCACTGCAAATCAGCTCAGCGCATGGAAACATGAGATTATTAGGAAGAGGGTGAACTGTCCCACTGCCTCAGGGTCTTAGGTGCACCCACAGGATGGAGCAATCAGCGGAGATCAGGAAAGAGAGCACACTTGGGTTTAAGCAACCAGGACCTCCCCTTCAGGACTGAGCTCCATATATACGCTTGTTTGCTATTGCACTGCCTGCATGCATCCTTCAGGACATTTCTGATGCAAAAGATTAAGGTAACTCCAGAGCCATATTCTCTTTCCTGTATAGGAGCAGCAAGAAGAGGTGAGGAAGCGTTGTGAAAATGCAGAGCCACGCCATGGAGAGCTGTGGTGTGAGGTCTCCAAGGACATCAGCAATTGGCAGAGGAAGATTGGTGAGATCCTGGTGCTGGTGGCAGCCAAGATAAAGAACACCTTCTAGACCCCAAGCTCTGCTCATCTTTGGCAACATGACGGGACCCAGAGTCTTCCCTTGGCACACATGTGAGCTTTGTCTCCTCTTACAAGGAGCTCAGAGGAAGAAGAGACTGAGAGGGAAAAAGGAATGAGATTTTATGGTTGCATTTAGAAGGTGGGGGAATTAAGCCTTCCCCTGACACCTCTGTGTATTGTACCAGTAAGAGCAGTGAAAGTGAGTGCTTAAATCTACCAGCAGGCTTCTGGAGTGCTAAGAACAGGATCTTTGGCGTGTTAACTAGTAGGCATTTATTACTATTATTATTATTATTTTGATGCCTGAGCTTCCCCTACCCAGATTGTCTGAAAACCACCTGACAGCTAGGTTGTCCTTTTAGGTCTTTCATTTGTCTAATATTCAGTTTGTCTCCTTGATGTCTTCACCAAATATGCCTCCCAGACATTAGTTTTTGCTGATCCTATCTAATACAATCAGTCTGTTTTTTAACACAGTGAAATATGGAGTGATTTAAAATCAGTTTTTGATTGGGTTCTAAATCAATCCCTAGGTACCTCCAGTTTCTCAAGAGAACACCGAATGCATCTCTGGGGCCTGCCATAAAGCTCGATTTCCTGATGGAGAGTTAAGTTTAGATTTTCAGTGTAGTATGACAGTGTAGGACCTTGAAAAATTGCAGGCATTTAAGGACCCAAGTAACATAAGAGCAGAGAATCTGGATAACAGCCATAGGTGTAAATGTTAACTTGGGATGTGCTTGAATTCCGAACTTTCTATTTATTGTAGTAAGACAGAACTTCGTCAGACACCTCAGTGAAGTTCCTTTGCCTTGACCTTTGGTGAAAGTAAAAACAAGATTCATTTGTAATAGTTGATTTTAAAATGTGTTTATTGCATTGGGAGAGAAATGTCACATCACAAAATACTGAAGAACAGTCAAACATTTAGAGAGAGTGTGTTTAGCATATGAACATGTGGCAACAAGACTGGGATAGCAACAGGGAAACCCTTTTCCACACCAGACAGACAGATGAGCTTCTTGGTGGCAGGTTTGTGGGTGAGTAGAGTTTGTTGGGTTCTGTGCACAGTCCACCAGGAAAGTTTTCATTGAAGCCCTGTTGGGATGGATGGGGGTGATGCAAAAGTGTATATATCTGCATTGTGTATAGATTTTTTTAAAAGCATTCCCAGCTTGATCCTTCACTTAACGCCCTCTAGCTTCAAAACTTTCGTGTTTCTAGCTGGGATAATCTAAAATCCCCCCCCCCCACCTCCGGCCAGCTAATTCAGAATTTCCTTGTGTCTGATGGTATATCCATGTATTTTGCATGGTTTTTTAAAAAAACATTCTGTTAAAGAAAGATGGTTGTACATAGTGTGAAGCTGTAAAATACAGTATTTTGTTCTTTGTGATAATTTTATGGCTCATCTCTCTTCTGCATGTCCTGAATCTTATTTGGAAAATTATTGTGCTTGCTTGGCTTTACCAGAAAATATAGGTGAGAAGGGTGTGTGTGTCTTATTTACCACAGTGAATCCCTAAAGCAAGAAGAGGAGATGGGGCATTCAGAGATGCAGGATACTGGGAGTAGATAGTATGTGATCCATTGGCCTCATACAATCCTGGACCTTCCCCACATGGATGCCTCCACCCACCCCAGGTTAGGTGATATGAAACTGTTATCATCCTTAGCCAGAATGGCCTCGGTAGAATGGGAGTTATTAAAAAAACATACTGGATTATAATGTGGGTGCAGTAAACCAGGACTTGTTACGGCTGAGATTCGTACAGTATCTGTTTTTGAATCTAACTTCTTCCCCCCCCCCCCCAAATGTACTATGTAGGTAGGGGCACACAGGAAAATCTCTGAAGGCATCTTTGAAATATTCTAGAGCTTAAAGCTGTAGCATTTCAGGTGATTAGATCTAGCCAGATTCAGCATGCTTGCCTGCCTGTTGGGAACACACCGTGTGCCTGGCTGCTCCATTTTTAACATTCTCAGTAGTCGTAATACTGTTTGCAGTTTTTCTCAAGCGAACCAGACCAGTGCCATCCTTGTTTCTTCGCTCTCAATATTCCAAACAGTACGCTTTGTTTCAAACAAATGGTGTAATGCTAAACGTCTGAATCCGTGCCCCACCTTGAGCCAAGAAGTGGGCTCTCCTACCCGCCCTCCCGGTAATAAGCCACGTTTATAGCGTCTCGGGGCCCCTCACCCCAAATTGGTGTAGTGCCAACTCTGTTGCAGTGCAGTCGTCTTGTGAATGGTTCCTAAAAGATTCTGCAATGGAGACAACTCACCTTGGGTGAACTCTCAAGGGCCAGAGCAGTCCCTGGCAATGACCGTTTTCCGCGGCTGCTTGTGGACCACACACACAGGCTAATCTCTCTGGCCCCCTCTGGTGGTTGAAAGGGGTAGACACCCCATCTGCATCTGAATCAAAGTGATCTTGGTCCCTTTGTGTACTTACTGGTAAACTGTAAATCTTTGTCTTCAGCTGGTAAGCGAAGGGTTTGGCTTCCAGCATTCTTTTCAGCCTAAAAATCTCCAGAATCTGTTGGAGACAAATCGCAGGCAGTGAATGGACCTAACACTTGCCAGTAGTCTGAAGGCCAACATGTAGGTCCAGCCGCTACTGGCTAGTGTGTCTTCAGACGCATAGGGATGTGAACATTTGTGCCAGTCAGTTGGGCATCTTCCACACCCTAACGTATTTTCCTTGAGCTCAATTATCACAAATCATAGCCTTTTATTTTCTACATTTTTAAGTTGCACCCTTCATCCAGAAATATACAAATACCCATCAATATCCACAGAAACCTGCGAACACCTTCATACACCTTCACATCAGTTTGGGCTGGGTTGGTTCTGGTTTGTTTGGTCAATATTTGGATGCCAGTTGGACTGGATCGGATCAGCAGTTTTCATTCTTGAACTGTAAGTGTTATAATGAAACAGATACTCTTGGTAAGTGAATTCCCCCACCCCCCAAAAAATACAGTTGAGTTAAAATCAATTAAATATTTGTTCAATCGACAGATTTATCGCCTGAGCTCTCTATTTCTGTCACTCTGCTCCTCCTTAGCTATTCTTCATGACTGGCATGGTCTGTGGGGCATACCTTCGTAATAAAACCATGCAGTCCTCCATGATAAAAACACAAGTAGCAATTGTATTGCATTTGTATCTTATTCCAATAACGTTGTGCAACAGACATCCTTATTTCTTTTTTCTCCCCCTCAACCCTGGCCCCTGTTAACAGAATTGATAGGGAGTAGAATTGTGTTTATGGCAGATTTGAACAATGCTCATGGCACTCAAGTTGCCGGAGAAACATAGCAAAGCAAGCAGCTCGAGATGTCTTATCTTAGTGCAGTGGCATATGTTGAATGTTTTTAATGAGATCCATCAAGGATGTCGGAAGGAAGAAGCTCCATTCATCTGTGTGATCATGATATGCCACATGAGAGTATTCTCGAAGGTTTTTACGGCCGGGATCCGATGGTTGTTGTAGGTTTTTCGGGCTGTTTGGCTGTGTTCCGAACGTTTTTCTTCCTAACGCTTTTGCCAGTCTCTGTGGCTGGCATCTTCAGAGTTAGAACGAAAAGGAAGAAAAACCTTTGGAACACGAACAAACAGCCTGAGAAACCTACAACCACTGTATGCCATGAGAGTTGGAGGACGGAGCAGGGCCAGTTTTTTGTGGTGGTGAGGTTTAAGATGGGCAGGGTTGCGTGGTTTTACACACCCATTGTATGTTTTTCTCGAACTTTTTTTTCCTGGCCTTACCCTAAGCCACAAATGCAGTTCCTTGTAGGAAAGGCTTCTATAGATCAGTGGTTCCCAGCCTTGGGAAACGCAGGTGTTCTCGGACCACAACTCCCAGAAGCCTTCACCATCCGCTTGCTGGCTGGAGTTTCTAGGAGTTGTGGTCCAAGAAACACCCAAGATACCTAAGGTGGGGAATCAGTACTCTAGCCCTGTGGGTTTGTCTGTCTTCTTTTGTATCTTTCTAAACTTCTACAGAAGAAATGGGAATCGTTGGAGAAGAGGAGGAGGCATTTTGGACTACAGTTTCCATCTTCCATCACCATCAGCCTGAGAGGTGTCTCACACCATGAAAAGATGGCATGCGGTTTCAGCTAACTGGATCTTTAGCTGCTCTTCAGTAGTAGCACAAGAGCAACCGTTTCTCTGTCCTTGTCTTTACCTGATGGCGTCTGAAATTGATCCATCCGCTGAAGGCAGTTCTGAATCCTCGGTTGTCCATCTCCTTAATGATCGAGAATGGGATACCACAGAGTTTCACAGCATGCTGCTACACTTCTAGCATCTTTGAATCTTTTAAAAAACTTATTAAAATATGGAAATAAACAAAAAAATAGTACATGTCTTTCATCAGAATTATATAAAAAAGAATTGCACTGTTTGGTGACAAGAGGGCTTTATTTGTTTTATTTAAAATATTTGTACCCTGCCTTTTTCTTTCGAAAGGGATCCAAGATACCTTACATCATTAAAAGCTAAAATAAGTAAATTATTCAAATATTAAAGAGGATTTAATAACATTATATTAATATTAGGTAAAAGTATTAAGAAAATAGATTTAGAAGCAACAAAATATAAGCCATCCTGTTTATTGTCTCCTAAACAGTGAAGTCACTCAGGGAAAGCCTGCCTGAAGAGAAAGGTTTGCCTGCTTGTGGAAGGACAGGAAAGATGGGGCTAGGCTGGCCTCCAGTGGGAGGGAGTTCCAGAGGTATACTGTAAAAGCTAGTGGGGGCCAGATAAAGCAAGTAAAACATCCTGGAATTCTTTGGCGGCTCACCCTGAGCATTTAGGATGATCTCCACAGGGTCTAAACTGAGCTACTTTGGGAAATGATCCATCAGAGGAATGCAGCTGCCTTGCACCAAGCAGGATAAATTCCATCAAACATAACCCACCTGTCAAGGATCTGTGTGGAGATGCCAGGAATTGAACCAGATCTGAACTTGAAAAAAAGCAACTTTGCTGAAGGCTGACTCCCAGATTTATCCAGCCAAGGTGGCTGAGAGATACTAGGATCTCTCTAGAAATGGTCACTTCTACATGGTTTGAACCTGGTCCATTTACTGTATATAAATTACTGTACGTTCTATGAGAGCTGAGCCAGGGCTCTTGAAGACAGGAGATTTTGGAGGTACCTCATTTTTACGGTCACCGTACGATGGGAGCCTTCTTGACAACATGCAACAAAGCAGTGTTCTATAAACAAAAGCACACCAGTTCCCCTAACTAAGGGTGGTTCTGTTTTTGAATTGGGCGGGCAAGTCTTCTCTTGCAAATGTTTTAAGACAGCAGCTCCTATCAGGCACAGGCAGCAGAGCTGGTGATAGAGGCATGTTGGGGAGAAGGCTGGAAAGGCTGCGCTGGCCTAGTCCCGCTTCACATGGATGTTACACCTCTGCCTCCCAGGAAGAAGGTCCCAGTAAGGGCAAGACCAGCCTGGCCTCATCCATTGGCCAGCAAGGAGTTTACTTTGCCCTCATTTCTGTGCCAAAAAGCACCCACGTCCGCAGCTGCCAGTCCCATCCGGGCTCGAGAATTAAAGAGGGAACCCATTCTGGCCCAATCCACCAGACAAGTCTTATGTGGGGAAGGTGCTGTCTGTTATTTCTCATTGGATGTAATCTGCTGTGAGATAATTCAGTGTAAAGCTGGAGCCTGTCTTTGGAAATAAAAACATCTCTAATTCAAAACAACACATCCCGGAGAGTATACAGCCAAGGTGCTATCAAACGCTTAGTGGCCTCGATACAGATATTCGCCATAAATCCACAGCTGTCTCTGTTTAAAAGGTTGTCCAAGATCATCTCTGTTTCTGGGTTGCTCTGTTCCATATTATGGCAGCTTTCTGAGGCTGCTTTTAATCATTCAACTATTCTTCGAGGAAGGTGCAAACTGGCTCTTGCCGCTCATACACCAGGGGGCAGCCATGGCACGTCCAGGAACTCCCAGAGTTATTTTCCCAGAGAGCTATCCCTCTGTATTTCAATGCTCCCATTTTGATTTTTACAGATGAAGGTACAGTAGTCGCATCAAGACCAACATCACCTTGCAAGGTAGTTAAGACATCACCGCTGTCTTTTTGTGTGCTGTAGTGCAGTGGTCTCCAACCTTGGGCCTCCAGATGTTTTTGGACTACAACTCCTAGAAGCCTTCACCACCAGGATTTCAGGGAATTGAAGTCTGAGAGCATCTGGAGGTCCAAGCTTTGGGACCACTGGTGTAGTGGACTGGTATTGGACTGGGGCTTAGGAGACCTGGGTTCAAGTTTCCGCTCAGCCATAGAGACTTGGCTCTCTGTGTGCGGTAGACCATTCCATGAATACTTTTTTTGGTTGTTGTTTAGTCGTTTCTGACTCTTCATGAACCCATCGACCAGAGCA